TAAGGAAAGGTTGGGGGCGGGGGCAGCCTAGACTTGCAGCTCACAGGCCAAATCATTGCTGTTGCAGTACACATGGGCACACACATACACGTGTACACATGTATGTGTGTACATGTCTTGTGCATGTGTACACGTGTGTGTGTGTGTGTGTGTGTGTGTTTGGAGGCATGTACACCCCCCCCCAAAAGAGAAGTCAGGCCAGGAAACACCTCCAGAGGTCACCTAGTCCCACCCCCCTACCCTGAGACAGGATCATCCCTAACCAAACCGTCCTACGCTATCCATACTCTTAGCCTTCACAGTAGCTAACATCCTGATTCTGTTACCCCACACACACACACACCCCCAGCCTGTACCGATCTGCACACAGGATACAATTTCTTCCTGGTCCCAAATACAGCGATTAGTTTGACCCTGCGCAGAGGGGCAACACCCACTAGCTAGGAATGTCTGGGTTTAAGTCTCAGCGGGAACACTGGCAGATCCCAGTTGCAATCCCCACCTATGGCTGCAGCCAACACCCAATGCTTTTAAGGAAAACTTAAAAAATAAAGCCCTGGCATGCAGCAGAAACGGGGGGTGGGGAGGCCATAATTCCTTCCCATTCCCTTGCTGGAAGCAGCAAAGCCCGGAAACATGGGAAATACCCATAGTACATAGGCTGTGCCTACATCATCTCCAACCAGGGCTGTCCAGCATCTTCTTGAACCCCTCCAGTGATGGAGAGTCCACAGCTTCCCTAGGCCGTCTATTCTACTGCCTCACTATTGTAATGATGAAGAAGTTTTTCCTGATATCCAATCTAAACCATCTTTCCTGCAACTTCAAGCCACTGGTCCGCGTCCTCCTCTCTGCAGCTACAGATAAAAAGTGTTCTCCCTCTTCTTTATGGCAGCTTTTCAAGAATTTGAAAATTGCTATCATGTTCCCTCTCAAGCGCCTTTTCCTTAAGCTGAACATAGAATCATAAAAAATTAGGGTTGGAAGGGACCTCAGGAGGTCAGCTAGTCCAACCCCTGCTCAAATAGGACCAGCCCCAACTAGATCACTACAGGCAGGACTTTGTCAAGCCAGGCCTTTGAAACCTCCAAGGATGGAGATTCCACCACCTCTCTAGGTAACGCACGCACACACATATACACACATATATATGCGCACACATGCACAAATATACATGCAGATAAATATATACCCATATACACACATGTATATACATGTATATGTAGCATAACCTTTCCTGAGCCCAAGTTCATTTAATCAGATCCTGTGAAAAGATGTGCAAAGCAGTGTATAAAACAGAGAAAATGATCTGAATATTTAAAAATGAAAGGTAGGAAGGGAGGGAGAGGGGAATAGAGAAATAGAGGAGAGGTCAGAGATGAATGTTACAACTGTCATTAAGCAGCAGCAAAGCTAGATAACTTTCCTGATAATCAGGGAAATCATGAGTATGAGAGAAAGGGAAGTGTGAAATGTGTGGTGGTGAAAAGCCAAGAAGACTTGGAAAAAACTGAGAGATTTCTGGGAAGTAGGACAAATTGTTGCTGCAGAGATACGGAATATGTTGGAAGCTCAGCTAAATGATCCTGGAGCCCAACACCTATTTTTTGGAAGAGCATTCATTGCGGGGCAGGGAGAAGGGGTAATATATAAAATATAATTTTATCATTTGCATTTTGTTTTAAGAAATCCTCATAATACAATGTGCTGATCAAGAAAGGTATTTATATAGTTGGTGGTGTCCACCTAGTTTGTCACCGTGCTTAAAACAAGTGCCCTCAATGTTTCTATAGCTGCAGCAAGTGGCAAGGAGATCTTGTTCACAGTGTCTAAATTCCCTAGGCAAAATGCATCATTAGTAGCCGCATTCAGAGGAGCCCTATCCCAGAAACTCCCGAGAGACTGAATCAAGGGGTGGCTCCAAATTCACCTACGAAAGTACAGGTTAGCATGAATTTAGTTAATCTTGGCTAAGTTATGGGCATTGCTATGAGTTGGTGAATAACTTTTACATTTAGAATAAATACAGACTTTGAAAAGAGCATTTCTAAAATCTGAGTGACAAATAATGTAGTAGTACACATATACACACAGCATGCTGTCTTCCTAATTTAGAAAACAGATGGTAGTACTGCATCACTTGTGCCCTCACAAATCTCTTAATGAGCTTTCTACACGCAAGTGTCTGAAGAGTGGATTTAGTTGATGCCCAATTCAAGAGAAAAGAACAGGATCTTCCTATATGGATTTATTTATATATACAAGGTCAAAAGAAATGCAAGGAGGTGTATACCAAGATATATTAATTAGTTAAATTTGGTCTTTCATGGGTGCACTCTAATTGAGATCTGTTACTGTTTCATGTCTTTCTGATCCTATAACTAGGTTCATGTTGTGCTATGCCCTCTCTACTGTATGAAACTTGACTTGAAGACTAATGGAGTGAAAACTTAACTATAAGTATATTCAAAACAATAATTTTCTGTTAAAATTTAGGAGTGCATTAAAAATACACAGCGGTTATGATAGAACTCTGAAGTTCTCTACAAAGCAAACTTTTATCCTAATATCATAGATTTAAAAAACCCCAAACAAACTAGTTATATCACCTTAAAATACATTATGTTAAAAATTATTTAAGGACAGCTCTTTAAAAAAATCTAGAATAACCTGTTTTCATAATATGTATTTTCTAACTTCCCAAAACCTTAAAGAGTAGGTGTGCACTGATTAAAGATTTTTTGGGCCGATACCGATGGCTGATTATTAATGCCCGCCTAGAATGCAGCCCTGGCCCAACCCCTCCACCAGGAAGAGGCCAGCACGGCCCCTGGCTCCAGCCTGCAGCAGCAGCCTGCCCTCACCCCACACACAGATGGGGGGGCATGTACCCCCCCACCCATGGCTCCCCTGGGGGAACGTGCAGTGGTGGGATCCAAGCTCCTCAGACCAGCCACTCGTGGCTCAATCCCATGCCCTGCCCCGGCTGGGCAGCACCTGCCCCAGCCCCAGCTTCCCTCCTCCCTCACTGTGGGGGGCAGTGATCTGCCCCTCCCTCGGCCCCTTCCCCACCAACAGATTTACCAGCTGGATGCTGCTCTCCAAGCTGCCAGGCTGGCTGTGTGCATGCTACAACTGCGTACATGTACGCAGCATTTATCGTGACATTATCAGCTATGGAGATTTCTACTTTTCCACACAAGATACCAGCTTATTTTCAATGCTTTGGCAATAGGAAGTAATTTTTAAAATTATTTTTCTAGGTCTTTCCATGTATACTTCCATCAAATAAGTTTATGTTTATAAAAATAGTTATATAAAAATTGCAAAAGTTGTAATATTGCACAAACTTCTTTGATGTAAAGGCAAAATTCTCCACATAAACAGAAAAAAAATATAGCTATATAACTTGCAGAAATGTTGCAAGTACAGCAACAATGTGATCATAGGACTTGTGGTATTAAAACCTGTATGTATTTTCTTTTGCTTAATTATTTAGTTCAGAAAATAAAACAGGAATAACCTATCAAAAGCTATTGTAAGGATTTTAATGGTGACGACTCTATATACGTTTCTTTTATGTTAGGCCTTTGCCCAAATCTGTCTGAAATACATGAGCCTTTTCTGCGCTTGCCAGAGAAATAGCATGAACTTTGTTTCCCAAAATTGTTTAGTCTGGTGGTGTTCAACCTTTAGCCCACATAACCATGTCATCTGGCCTGTAGGGCTCCTCATGGGTCTGGAAATTTGGCAGTGGAGGTAATGGTAGCAGTGTTTATTGCCCCCATAGCCACGACAATTAACACTGCCACTACTCCCTTGCTGCCAAATTTCCAGACCCATGGGAAGCACTGCACTCCGGATGACATGGCCTCATGTGCCACATTGCACCGGCATGTGGTCACTCCATGGCTGCATCTGGTGTGCAGGGTTGGGCACACCAATTCATACCTATGGAGTGACCCTGCATGTCAACCACATGTGGGATCCAGCCCATGGACTGGCCTCGCACCATGGACTGGCCCACTGGGATGGAGAGTTTGAGCACCACTAGTTTAGTCACTTCTCCAACTTAGAAGAATGCTGTTGTTTTTTGTTTTTGTTTTGTTTTGTACAGACAAACTTTAACAAGACATTCTGTTTTAACAGATTGCTGTAGGTTAGGGTTATATTTCTGAAGGAAGAGGAAAGATGGAGAGGCTCTGTAAAATTACTGAATGTCAGTCACATCTGTCTCAGGATACTACTTCATACCACTCGGCATACAATTCTGCAAGTATAGCAATGGGAGGTTATGTTGGTGCAAAAGTGTTCCTTATTTCAGGAAATGGATAACAGGCCTGCTAAGTAATACAGGACACATTATTTTAACAATTACTGGCAGGTCACTAATTCTTTATTTTAATTGTTAGAAGGAAAACATATACAATATTTTCCTAGGATGGCTTTGACTTGTACCCAAAGCCTGAGAAAGAGCAAAACTCCTCACTGAACACGGATTGCGAGGACTGGATAGACTTTCCCAAAATGTGTCGTTCCAATCAGGAGTATTATTTGAAGCTGGAAGAACTGAAGAAGGCCCACTTGGAGACTACGGCAAAACTGGAAATCATGTATCGGCATAAGTTGCACGTGAAAGGAGTACACCCACTGGGCAATACAGATGCTGTTCCCAGCATCTGTCACAGGTAAATTTAATAATTATCTCTAGTTCTGCAGTGCCTTTTGTCTGTGGTTCTCAAAACACTTTGCAAATGTTAGTAATAAATACAGTGCTTTTGAAGTAGGGAAGTATTACTATTCCCAGTCTGTGTGTGTGAATACCAACACACAGAGAAGCTAATGACCTAATTTTCAAAGGTGCTGAATACTTTTAGCCTCCATTGTTACTATCTCTGTAAAGTAAGTCACCAGTGACTCTTGAGGCTACGATACAAAAGTAAGAGAACACCTTTCAGGTTTTAAAACATTTTTCAGGTTTTAAGTAAGCCTTGTGTGGGGTAGGTGTCATTCTGTCTTATAGATGAGACATTAAAGATGAACTAATTCGCCCAAAGTCTATATAGTGAGTTTCCTATGAGATTCTTATTAGACGTGCACTGATATATCTGTGCCATATCAGATTGGCAGCAATAAAAGGAAAATTAACATTATCGCCTATCGGCTTTTTTTGGCCAGTGTAGCCAATGATATACCAATAAATATAATGTGCCTTCTGGCTGGGGCCCCAAATGCCATGTGCACGCATGCAGCTGCAGTATGCACGTGGCCAAGAATGCAGCCGGGCAGCATGGAGAGCAGTGCCCTGCAGATAAGTCTGTGGAGGGGAAGAGATGTGGAGGGATGGGGGGCAGATCAAGGCCCCCATGGTGAGGGAGGGAGTGGGGCAGATCCTTTGTGTGGCAGAACCCAGATCATTTGCATCCAGGTGGTCAGCTACCTGCTTAGTTTGCAGTAGGTTGCTGAATTAAAGATACACTGCTCAGCAAATTGCTAAAGCTTTTGATTTAAAGGATACTGCTTTTCTGATCAGTCGGGTCTCCTCAGCAGTCTCATGCAGCTAGTTAGAGAAGTGGTGCCCTTTAAACCAGGGGTTCCGAACCTTTTTATGCTGCCGACTGGCAAACCACAGACCAGAAGTGACCATGGACCAGCAGTGACTAGCATACTGCGGGCAGGCAGCCAACTGTGGGCAGCTAGTATGCCAGTCACTTCCAGACTTCTGGTCCGGCAGCCAACCCTTTGCGGCCCAATACCAGGCTGCAGCCTGGGGGTTGGGAACCCCTGCTTTAAACAAAATAGCTTCAGCCAACAGTGGAAGTTCCTCAGCGGTTTTGTGTGGCTGTTTAATGCGGCTCTGCAAACCCGTAGCTAGTTCCCAAATATTCCTTTTTGTAGAGGGTTAAGGAACCTCAACCCACAAAGTGTCCTAGTTTTACAGTATATTTGAGAATTAAATATATATGGACCTATACACAGCAAGACAAGATTAATGTTCCTTTGTTAAAAAAGTTTAGTAGGGACTTCTAATGCTAAGCTAAAACACTGTTCCCTAACCTGTGTCTAGAACCATGTCTTTTGTCACTTGCAAGAAAAAAATATTGATTTAAAGTGGATTCAACCTTTTTCAATTTTTTTGGATAGAGAGACCTCAAATCTTGTAATAAAACATTCCGTTGGTTGGCTGGCTGGGGTATTGCTAGTAATCTTAATCAGTATAGCTGTAAGTTCTCTTGAAGTGAAATAATATTTGAATTGCCAAGATGCATCTAGTTAGTATTGATGAACATAAAGCTGGCATTTCTTTTAATAGTTACACTGCAGTAGCGATAAGGTGTCTCAATGGGTAAAGGCCCAATAGTGCCTGCCAGTGCACAGACAATTCCTTTCCCCCCTTACCAATGTGAATAATGCTGCCTATCACCTTTGCTAAAATGCCCTGAGAACATGGAGATGGAGAACAGTGACCTGGTTATTTATTATGGACTTCTTCCTCAAGATTAAATTTGTTCGTTTATAACTATTTGTTTTCCTTTAAGATCAACTTGGGAAAAGAGCTCATTTCACCCTCTGAATTTACATAAATCTTTTTCTGAGCCCGATTTAAATAATCCTTTCAATTCAAGTTCATCTGGTGAATCTGACGAGGAATTAGAATTGGAAGAAGAAAATATTAGTGAAACTGGATCACTGAGATGTGCTAAGGAGCAGATTAAAAAAATGTGGGATGGGTTCTCTGTAGAAGATTATATCCCTCAAACCAAACACAGCTTATCAGATTCATTGGGCCTCAAAACAAGGAGACAGAAACAGAAAGAGTGGTCACCCCAGATCACTGTGCCTAAGCCTTTTCAGATGACTATTAGAGAAGCTAGGAAAAAGCAACAAAATGTTAAATCAAAGTCACAGATTGAAATGGAAAATAACTTATTGAAGAAACAACTAGAGGAGGAAGCAGAATGTCAAAAGAAATTTCGGGCCAACCCTGTACCAGCTTCAGTCTTTCTTCCACTCTACCAAGAAATCATGGAACAGAATGAAGAACGTAGGAAGTCTGTGAAAGAGAGAAGCAGAAATATTCTTTTGGCTTATCAAAGACCATTTAAGTTTATTGAGAGGGAGGAGCAAAGGAAAGAAATTAGAAAAATGCAATTAAAAGACCTTTCTTTACCTGAGAAGAAAACAAAGTTTTTCAAAGCAAAACCTGTTCCTAAATCAGTTTACAGTCCAGATGTTAATGACAAGTTAAAAGAGGAGGAGCTCTATAGAGAAATTAGAATTCGAATGCGAGCAGAAGAGCTGCTGCGTAATTCATCCCTTCCCAACAGCAGGTTGGCTGATAAAGCTGACAATAAGCAAAGGAAACAGAAATGCACTGAACAGAAAGAACTGGTGCATAAACCAAGAATCAAAACTAAGATTCCCGATTTTGAAACACTACACCAAAAATTCCAAAAGCAGTTCCTTCAGCAGAAACGCATGAAACACATCACAGTCTGCGAGCCTTTCAATCTTCACACTCCCCATATCCCATCCAATAAATGGAAGATTCTGAAGGATATTCAAACAGATGAAGAAAAGTTAAAAGAAACACGCTGGCCATATACCTCTCCAAGATGTAAACCTCATATGAGGTGTTCAAGTGCAAATTCACATCTGCTGGGATGCGAGGAATCTAAATCTCCGAGAATCACAGAATCTACAAAAAGACGAGTCCAAGCTATAAGGTGAAAGATTCAATTACATATTACATATGGTGCAAAATACTTCATAAATCCTTGAGAAAGTAGACTAGCTGTTTAGACCACCAATTAGTTTTTCCAGCGTAGTAAGAAATATAGAACTACAATGCTTACTCTCTTCATTTTAGTGATATCTTTTAGCTACAGAAATAGCCTTTCTTTTCCTCATATTTGCATAAAAGAACAAGTCCATTATTTTCCAATATATGCTTTCACTCCTCAAGTGAAGCATAATTATTAACTTCGGCTCATTTCACCCTTGTTTCCTCCTTGCAATTCTCCCTGGATTTACCCTTGCCAGATCCCTCCTTAAATTCTCCCTAGATTAAAACTAATTCAGCCTTAGTTTATTTTTTCACTCAGGAATTCACTTGAGGAAAAGAGAAAGCTGGAAGAAGAGCAAAAAAAGAGCAAAGCAAAGCAGAAACAAAGAGTGAAAAAACTGCAGAAACTTATAAGAATTCGAGCTGAAGTCAATGACCCACATCAAAGCCTAGCTCAGATATTTAAATCCAAAGTAAAAACCTACAGGTATTCTGTCATATTCCCCAAATCCTGAACTTCTAGATAGAAGCTAAATGTTTAATATACAGTGCAGTAGCAGTATGATACAGTTAATGTGTTGATTCATGCAAATGACAAATGCAGTGCACAAAAATGTAGACAGAAGGGAGTATGAACAAATAAGTTACATATTTAATCAGAAACTGAGAAACTGGTGTCCATTATGATAATCTCAGATGTATGTGTTTTTCTCCCCCTTTCAATTACTGTACCACAAATAAGACAGCTTCTTGTATTTAAATCTGCATATGAGCTGAAGATAGAGCTTGGTGTGCACTAGTAAAAATATAAATTCCTATATGACAAGCACAGTGGCATCTTTAATTCCACCCTTTAATTTGTCTAGATGCTGTCACCCTGCTAGATGTAATCCCTGAGCCCCATCAGCCTCCTGTTAAGCCAGAGTTGGGCAATTATTTGGGCCCACAAGCCACATAGGGAGTACTGGGGAGCTGTTGCAGGGTGGGTCAGCATCCCCTTTCCTCCCCCCTGCAACAGCTCACCAAACCTCCCTATGTGGGATGGGGTTGATGGTGGGTGGGTAGCTGGCGTGGGAGCCAGCAGGCAGTAGCTTCAGCAGGGCTTCCTTCAGGCCATCCTTCTAACTCAAAGAGGGCTGGAGCTCCTGCCTGGAAGCAGCAGCAGACCAGGTGCAGAGGTAGCGGCTGGACAGGAGCTGCTGCTGCGTACCAAGTGGGACCTGGTGGCAGCCATAGCCATTGCTGCCAGGGCCTTGCTGCAGCCAGCCAGAGCCCACACTGGGGCTCTCCTTGCCACTGCTGCCATCACAATCAGTGCTGCCTCCAGGCTGCCCTGGGCGCCCATGCCCAGCGGGGAGGAGCTGCAGGGAAGCCTTGGCTCAGGTTTTGGTAGCCACAGCAAAAAGGCCCACCAGGCAGCAGTGAGGAGGAGGCAACTGTGCCTGCTGCCAGGTTTTTCCCAGCACCCAGCAGCAGCTTCTGCTCAGTCCCAGGCTGAATGCCCAGCCCTGCCTCCCCATGCAGGAGGTTGGGGTCCTTGGAGCATCTGGTCTGGACCCAACCATCCCAGCAGTGATGAGTAACAGTGACGGCAGCTGGGCAGAAGCTCCTGCTGGGTTTGCGGGGAACAAAGCAGGACCTGGTAGGGGCACAGCTGGCTCCCCCTCACCGTTGCCTGGGCTTATCACAGCTGGCACTTGGAGCCCATTCCAGGGCTGCCCTGTGGCTCGTACTTGCCACTGCTGCTGGGCACGGGGCCTGGGGTGGCCCAGAGGCGGTGCTGGTGGCACCAGCAGTGGCAGAAGGAGCCGTAGGGCTGCCCTGGCGCAGGCTCTGGCTGGTGGCAGTGAGAAGGGCCCAGCATCAGCAAGGGGCAAGGCAGGACTGAGGGACCTGCCACAGGCCAGACAGTATTTTGCCCACTCCTGTGTTAAGCTGTGGACTCATCTACCACTCGCATAATATCATTGACTCACTTCCTGCTCTCCTTAGATTTGGTTTGAAAATCAAAATAGAAGCAACCAGAAAATTCAAGATACCTGGACAAAATATGAAGTAAAGTTAAATTTTAAAAAAAGAGAAAAAGAAAACAAATAGGTTCCTTTATGTAAAAAAGCTAAAGTCTCATTTTTTTTAAAAATTATGTATGAAGAAGAATACAGGTGGGGTAAAGTTCTTACAAAATGCACTTTACTCACTTTATATGATTAGGATAAAGGAGAACGGCAAGATCTTGGGTCTGTGGCTAATATAGGTTGTGATTTCTTATTTTAACACGACTAACTTTTTGTTTTTCCAAGGCAGGTGAATGAGTTAATATTTGTAAGCTGTTTCGAGATCCTTGCATTTCTGTAGTGCCTTCCATCTTAAGTAGTAGTATGACATAGAGGAGATGGGGCACTAACAGTTCTTTAGCTATACAACAGGTCAAATACTTTAAAAATAACATGTGAAATGCCTTTGGAGAGGAACAGCATGAATAAGAATTACTGGTCTGAGAGAGAATAATAAAAAAGGTGGGCAAGGCAAAGGAAATGAAGTGAATGTTATACTAGTGACTAATCATGAGAGAAGCTTCATATGACAACCACATCATGAAATATAATGTAGCTACCAAGAGTTGCTTCCAAATTAATTTTATGTATTAATGTTGACAAACAGTATCCAGAATGAAGGCCAGAATTAAGGAGTCTAAAGATTTGTCTCTCAGGGAAAGAAATAAATTAGAGCATAGTGATGCTGGACAGTTTCTTGGGCCATGAAGTTCAAGGGAGCAACAGTGAGGCTATTTAACAACTCGAGAGCCAAAGTATTAAAGCTTCTCACTTTTTTTTTTTAATGTAAGATTCAAAAAAGAGGGCACCTCCTTTCTCTGAACATGGCTTCTCCTAGGCTCTGGTTTTAAAGAGTAAATCTACTGAAATGCTGCAGAGCCTGCCACCAGAATTCACAGTAGCAAACTTTGATAATGTATAAACCACCAGCAGTGTAACTCCACTGATGAGGAATGAGGGAAACCACAGAATTAACAGAGTACTTGTTTTGACCTTCATGTAAACTGCCTGCTGGCCACCATGACTAAGCTCTGTCAAGAATAAGCCCTTTGCAATTGCTACCTGGGGAGGTTTGATGGTGCTGATTTGTGGCTATGTAGTTGTAGTGTCAGCAGTATCTGTCTGTGACGGGCCTTTTCCCAGCTTGAATTTCATCAGAAAATCAAAAGTAACACCTGTTCTTCAACTACAGTGAATAAAATTAAATAAGGAGGGCATCAACACTTTGTTTTAAAGGACACATTGTTAAGGCTAAGAAGGAATTAGTTTGTTTCATAATTAACATACTTATATTGAAGTACAGTACTGTTCTTTTGTAGCATAATAGAGCTTCACCAGCCCTTCCCAATTGCTTCTACTTTTAGTTTGGCTTAGAAAAATAATTACACAGAATTACTGTCAAGATAGAGCATGTTACTTAAAAAAAAATACAAAGACCCTCACAATGTCCAGTTTGTCATAAACACTGTAGCTTTCAGCTACCTTAGGACAAGGGTGACAAACTCATCTGGCTCCACAAGACTGAGTGGGTGAGTGGGGTAGGTTCTGTCCACAAGCTGGATAAATGGCATGGGGACAGCCCCTCAGCCCAGATTGGAACAGACTCTCTCTCCCTCCCCTTCCTTCCCACCCCCACCCCTTGATCCAGCACTTGGAGCATGCTCTGCCCAGCCTGAGAAGCAGATTGTGTGTAGGTTCTGAACTGGCTGGAGCAGGCAGTGAAGTCCCAGACTAGCCAGAACAAGTGCTGAATCCAGCATACTAGGAATCCACAGATCCCTGTCTCCACATGTGAGGTGCAGCATCTTCTCTGGCGGGTCAGGACTATACCATACATGGTGCCTGCTCTGGAACTTCTACTGCATGTGGCATCTGCCCTGGTCTGGTGCACTCTGCATATGTGGCTTGTGGATACACATCACCACTTGAGACCCAAGGCCACTTGAGAGCCAAGGGACTGGATCCAGCCTGTGGGCCAGATCTTTGACACCCATGCTTTAGAAAGTTGCATTTCTAGGAGAGACTGGTCTTCATGATGCTACTTTGTAGTGCTACTTGGTACTCATTTTTAAATAAAATAATAACTAAATACATCAATGTAACTTAATATTATTCTTTGCTAATATTAGGATGCATGAGAAGCAGAGAATGCAAGAGTATCTGCAGGAGATGGAAGAAATGGAAGAAAGAGT